AGGGGGAGGACATGTGCGGGAAAGGGTCATGAGCGGGACTCGAACCCATGACCTCCGCATCGGGACTGTAGCCCTGTACATGGGACGCCAGCTCTACCAGGTGAGCTATAGCGGCGCCCCAGTATTCAATATATTTTGCTGTGCAACATGCATTTCAGAGCTTATAACCATGCACAGTAACTGGACCATGACCACTGCACGTACAGAAGTGAATAAAACCATCACTCAGAGGGGGGGGGATGCTGGCGCTGAGCTTCCGGTATGACCGACGGGGGGGGATATTCGGAGATCCAAACTGATATCCTGATTCTAGCACAGTGAACCAATAGGTGGCTATTCAGGTCCAGTCCTAGTAATGAAAACCCACATTTTAAATACTCCGGGTCATGTTTTTGCCATCTTGCGTCCCAACATCAACACAAACTTAAAATGAACATCAAACAAACTATTGTTACTGTGCCTGTCAAAATAAAAAATGTTTCAAAATAAAAAATGAGTCCAACCAGAGACGCACATTATATATTATTTAAATTTGATCAGCTGTCCGCAACCCACCCAGAACAGGTCTGCGAGCCACCCTTGGGTCGCGACCCACCAGTTGAGAACCCCTGCTTTAGAGTACCTTAATTACCTTTTACCTCGTGTAATATGTTTCCCTGAGGAGACACGTCACATAGCTTGTAAACCTCTGGCCTATGCAATACTATGATTAAGTAGCTGTAACAGTGACATCATTCAGTTAGTCTACCTTAACCTTATATGGGGCAAGTGACCATATTTGGTAACTGCCTTCAATATGGCCGCCCTTGAGGTTGAAGAACCGTGTGCACTTTTCAATTTAGGTTTTATATTAGTGCCAATATCACTACCTTTCGAAAAAATGTCACTAAACAAACGTTCCAGGCACTTTACAAACACTTTGTTACTGGTTTGCATTGAACTCCACTTTGATTTATTTTTTGAGATGAGTGCCAAAACCACCACCCCAAGAACAATGGTACTAAATTAAAAGTTAAAAATATGAAGTTATTATAATTTCCCTTTTTTTTAAAACTGTAGACGAGCAAGTTACCATATATAATAACTTTATTAATCTTTTTATTACGTCACAAAAGTAAAAATATCTTTAAATATCCTTCAATAGGGTTGAAATTTTAATTTTCTAAGTATTTCAAGGAGTGCCCTATGAAGGGTTAAAGAGGCAACATTTAACTTTAGATGTGTCCATGTCAGATACTTTTCAAATCTGTTTTTACTCGATTAGATCAGAACCAACGCTTTGCCCGCCAAAGATATCCTTTTGTTTAAAAAAATCCCCACCACAAATTCCACACCAGATATCATATCCATCCATCTTGTGTCTCTGGAGGAAGGTTAGAGGAAGGCTGGACGGCAGAGCAAGGTCACACCTCAGGATGCCGCATTTGAGCTCGGGCTAAAAACATGCCTTTGCCCCGTACAGAGCGGGATAGTATGTCATGTAGCGACTTTGCTTCACTCAGACGATATGAGCGCGTCAGGGGGGTAAAAAAAAAGGAAAAAATAAAAAAATCAAGGTCTTGCCCTTTTTAACCGTGTTCTTCTGCTCTGGGGTAACAGCCCCTGGGGTAGATAGTAATGGAGTAATCCTCTTATCTGTTGCTGCTTCCCTCACCCTCGCAGATCATTTTTCTTGAGCTCCAGTGTATCATTCCATACTAAGCTGGCACAGTGCTGAATGTTTTTCCCATTTGACTTTTTTTTTTGGGGGGGGGAGGACAGTGTGGCTCAGTTCAGATTACAATTTTGAAGTGCTATGAAAATAAAAACTTAAGCAATCATTTCAGATCAAAATCAAATGCTGTGCCAAATCAGCTGCACCCTCCTAGTTATCATTTATTAAAAACTGAGAGGAGAAACTCTCAGTGTCTTTTCTCCACTAAAGAAGCTGAGGATGGTTTGTCCTTCTTCCTGAGGAAACAAGATTATAATTTGTGGATAGAACCATAGACTGTATAAAAGATGGACGTAGCTTCCGTGACGTCACTCGTTGGTTTCTGCACTGAGAACATGAAGCCAGGGTTTTGCTACTTCCTGGTTGACATCTTGGATTTTTGGAGCCAGTGACGCAAAAATCGTCGGAGGGGGGCGGAGCCATAGGAGCAGCGATTGGTCAGACGGATTGAGAGGCGGGCCCTCTCTGCCCGCCCACATTTTCCGCCTTCTGCTCGCTTCGTCTGTATGGTCGCTGCCGACTGTCAATCAAGCCAGCCACGCCCCTTGCCCCGCAAAATGTTGATGATTTTTTAAAAATTCAGTATTGATTTATTTTCAGATTGGCCACCTGATCTCTGGACTTGACTATGAAAACTAATAATAATTCCAGTCTATGGGAGCCAGGGCTTTTTGGAGCCAGCAGCTAGCGGACGTAGTGATATTGCAGGTTTTTGACACTTCTGGGTTGGCTTCATTTTTCAGGACCGGTTGCTACGTCCATCTTTTATACAGTCTATGGATAGAGCACAGCCTGTTTTATTAAAATCTTCACTGGCATGCACAGACATGGACGGTTTCGCGTACAATACCCTGCACAGCTACACACTTTGGCACACACACACACACACACACACACACACGCCGGTGCCTCGGTCCAGTCGTGTTGGACATGGTGTGTGAAAGGTGCCCCGCTGTGTGGTTGGTGACAAAGACTATTTCTGTACTCGCTCTCAGACAGAGAGACAAGCAGGATGTGAGGAGATGAACTCTCATCACACTATGCTAAATAGCACCAAGGGGCACAAGCCACACCTAACATTAGCATGCTCCCTTCTAAAGCTGGCGTGCCTTTCGGCCAGCAGTGTGCAGCTTTCTGAAAGGTCATATGAGACCAATGAGTACACGGGCGAGTCTTTTGCTGATGCCAAGGGTTTGAGTTTCATCAGTGTTACATTTTAATATGGACAAAGTGGGGTTGTTTTCTTCTTCTTCTTTCTTTTTTTTTCATTTTAGGAAAAGGACAGCCTCATCAGTATCTGGGTCACATTTTGCAGATGGATGCTAAATTATTATGTGACTGCAGCTCAGTCAACAGTTTGCACTTCACTTCTCAGAGACGTGGTACAAAATGCAAAAGCAGGAAATGTGACAGCAGATCATCCTCTCTCACGTTAATTTTAACACTTTATCAGATGGAACTCTATACTTATGATCGATGTGTGAGCACAGGAGAGAGATTTGTAGTAAGTGGTCGTCACTATTTGCATTCTGTATGTAAGTGGAGGCCGAAAATCACTTTTTTTTTTGAGGCAGGTCCCCAATATAGAACAAGAAACCAGGACTACATGACTACCACTAGTGGAAAAGTTCTCAGTCACATTTTTAAGCGTCATTCTTTTATTTTTTTTTTGTGGGGGGGGGACTCCAGCTGCAAACGTTTCTGATGAAAAATGGCTTAACCTCCTACCCTGCCTGGCTGTTATTTTCAGCCTACTTAGTGATCTAAATGAAGGGTATCGCTCTTCACACTCTCTGGCAAAATTGAAGCATGGATCAGAGACCTGCCATTATGGTTCACTCGTCTGGGCAATGATAAATGTTACGCGCTCCCATTATTGGATGATTTCGAGAGGGAGAACAATGTGTCAGGAGTCGACTGTGGGGTGTCGTCAGGGCTCATCTAAGTGGAATGTGCATGTCGTTTTGTGAGTATTTCCCCAAGCAGACAGCGCCTGGCACAGAGGAGTGGATTAGAAATCGTTCTGCGGTGGTGACAAAGTTGATGGGAGTGTCAAATGAATCGGAGGAGTCGCTGACTGATGCCGCGAACAACATTGCTTCAGAGCAGAGGTTTGCCGAGAAGCCACTGTTGGACATTTATTCAAGGTGAATGCCGGCGACTGGGTGATACGGGGAAAAAAGCTCAGCACATTTGCGTCAATCAGCGCCTGCGTAGCCTACCTGAAAAATAATTACGGAGCCTGTCTCAGGTTTAAAAATAGTCGTAGCCTCTTCCTTAGCCCCGCTCAGTGATTACTGGAAGGCCTCACCGCCTCCGCACGAGCTCATTGTTTTACCTGAAAACAGCAAATGATGGATCCAACATATCCAGGGTGTAGCTGCCTTCTTGCCCAGCATGACAGTAGCTCAAACCTCTCCATCAAACATAGGCACATAATAGCTAACGGATGGCTTAAAAAAAACCCAAAAGGTTCCTACTTAATTGCTGCTCTTCTTCAGCTGCCACTATTACCACATACCACCTTCCTCTGCAAACAAAAAGGTGTTGACTTATCCTCTTGGTTAGCCAGATGTCTGGGAGATAAATTGCTATCACATGTGTCATGCGCCTATTTCCTCACCATGTAAACATATGTTTATATTACCCCACTGCGATGATGGCTTGTAAAGAAAACTACCCCAGTGTGATAATAGCTTTCACCTGAATTCAACAGCAGTTCTGCATTTCTTCACTCTGCGTGTGCGGAAACTTCCTAAAGAGGCGTCTCTCGGAGGACTCACTCCACAGCGCATCCAGCAGACTCTGACAGGTGTTGGGTAATTCTGCTCAGACGGGCTCACATGGAGAAATTGGGAATTGCCATCCCACAGTTGGATTATGAAGTAGATTGGCGGTCTCTAGCAAACGGCACTGTTGTCAAGTGAACCCTGAAATATCTTTTTTTGGATAAATCCGCCCTAAATCTGAGTTCAGTTATTGGTTATGTCAAAAACAAATCCTCAAAGCGTCAAAGGTAAATCTGTTGCTGTTAGTGACTAGTATGTGATCATCTCTTCCTCTTAGAGGTTAGAGGAGTGGCGTCGTGACTGGAAGGTCAACACTTTGCAGACCCGTGGTTAGGAAAAGCTGAGGAAAACCACTCTGTCGCTGCTCAGTCACTGTTAACGTTTGATGAAGTAGGCTAATTGTAGAGGTTTGCAGTTTAGCAGCAGTTGAACCAACAGTGGTTTAAAAAACAATGTAATCTGATGCAAATCATTAATACAATGTCGGTTATTTTTCAATCTGCCAGGTGGAAACGTTAGATTCTGCAAAGGCAAAGTAGCTCCTGTTCCACCGAGCTGTCAGAGGGATCACCTTCATTTTAATTTCCAAGT